ATATTCGCACATTTGATTGGGATTCCTTTGGGCAGGATCGGTTTGCATGGGTCGAGGCCATTTGGTGTCTTTGATGCGTCCGATGGCCGATACGATGGTGGATGTACCAATGTTGAAGTTATACTCCGATAGTCGAGGGATTTCTATAGGATCTGTATATTTATCAAANCAAAACCGCTCTTGCTCATAAGTCCCCGAGAATTTTGCCACTGATCAATCCTTCGATTGTTCCGAACCGTGTCACGTGCTGAGCCGTTGTTCATCTGATCTGTGTCGTACGGTTGGTATCGATTTCTGTTCGACCTTCGTTCTCTGTTGGTTTCCCTTTGATTTTTAGTGGTTGTGTGGTTCTGACGTACGGGCCCATATGGAGCTCCCAATTGATCATCTTCGACCCTGATTTTTGATTGGTACCAGTTGTGTACATCTGCCCAAGTTATTGCTGGGTACTCAATCAAATTTTGTTTCAGCCGACGTGATGTTGTCGAGCTTAGCCCGTTCAGTCCTTGGGTGAAAGCTTGTACGGCCCAATCGTCTGTGACCGGTGGCAAGTCCATACGCTCTATTTGAAATCGGGATACGAATTCCCTCAGCATCTCGTTACCCTTTTGCTTTACTTTAAAGAGGTCCGATTTTCTTGTTGCAACCTTTATGACACCAGCATGTGCTTTTACGAACGAGTCTGCTAACATGGCAAAAGAATCAATGGAATTCGATGGTAAGTTGTGATACCAGATCATCGCTCCTTTTGCGATGGTCTCTCCGAACGTTTTCAACAACACGGATTCGATTTCATCATCCTCCAAATCGTTGTCTTTGATGGCGCATGTGTAGGAGGTGACGTATTCGTTAGGATCGGTCGTACCGTTATATTTGGGAATTTCGGGCATACGGAATTTTTTGGGGATTGGTTTTGGGGCCGCGCTCGAGGGAAAAGGCTTTTGTATGAATTTTTTCGAATCGAGCCCTTTTATCATTGGCGGAGCCCCCGGAATTTGGTCGACCCTAGCGTTATACGTTTCTATTTTTTTGTTGTTGGCTTCGACTCGCTTTGTGAGTTCCTCGGGCAATTTAGCAATTTCAGGAGCAGTCCTCGATTCCTGCTCGTTTGATTTCACTATGGCAGGTTCCGTTCTGGGGGTGACTTCTCGAAGAAGCAGATTGGAGTTCGGCCCGCTATGCGTATGAGTTCGGCTCTGCAACTGAGTTATTGCTGCTTGTTGGGCTTGCAACATTTCGAAAATCATATGCAAGCTGACCCCGATTTCTCCCGTGCTGTAGGTGTCTCGGGCTATGGATCGAGCACTTCCCTGAACGCTTCTCTCCGGTTCAGAACGCTGATTCGCTTCTAGAGCTATTTGCGAACTGATATCCAGTGGTACTTCGTCTCGAATTTTGGGCTCTTCGATTCGAGCCTCGTTGCCGTTGTCAGGTAGCCTTCTGGCCCCGGACACCAAGTTATTGGTTTCATCTTGAAGGCCGGCTTCGAGGTCGATAGGTAGAGCCATGGGTGATTCGAAGTTGTAAGGTGGAGTGTACTGTAGATTTATATCAAACAATCACCGTTACCCTTAGCCCCACGGTGGGCGCCAAACTGTTTACCTGAAAAATCGAATAACGTTAGATTTAGATATGATTCTAAGGGTATGCAAATTTCTTTGATACAAAATGACGATACATGTATATTTTGCTATGAAATGGGAAATGATGGATGGGAAGACTGAAAAATATTAGAAGAACAAGCACAATGAAATCTTAATGTCCCCTCCCTATTGCAGTCTATCTCCCCTTTTATAGTAAAGGGTCACTACTTTATTTGTAACAACATAAAATAATACATATAGTGGAGAACCAATGATGGTTTGTCTCTCCCTTGATTCTCGCCAAGATTCTCTCCCTTGGTGCGGTTGTAACGGCTCTTGTCTGCGAACTTGGCACTGAATCGAGCTTGGTGCTAGATCGAATCCCCAGTCTTAGTTCGAGCTCGGTTCTGCCTTGGAGCATCGATATTCGGGGCCTGTGTCGGTCGTCGTTACCCCGTAGTCCGATTCGGATGCGGGCTCGATAATGATATCGAGTTTTGCAGTTGATTGGTCTTATAGCTCGAAGCTCGTCGTCTCTACTTTGGAATTCGTCCGAGCTCGCCATGCGGATACCCTTCTATTGAAACGCCATTGTCTCGACCGGTCTTTATGACTGAGAATCGGTTTTGACCGTACACAGTGATATTATCAACACGAATCCTAGGTACTTTATCTTGACCATATTCTTTAAGTGATTATCTGTGTTGAAACTTGACCGCACAGTATGCACCATGCTTTGCATTTTGTCTCTTTCAGCATCACTAAGTAATAAAGTGTCATCTGCATATAGAATATGTCATTCTGTCCATCTATGTGGAAGTCCTTGAGCCATCAGTAACTTTCTTTTTTCACAAGTAAAGAATTTAATTTTACAATTCCAAGCTCCAGCCTAATTAAGCATTAATCTTAACACTTCGATGACCATGACAAATAGGTAAGGATAGATAGGGCCTCCTTGTCTTAATCCTTATTGTGGTTTGAAAAGACCATCAAGGTTTCAGTTTAACAATTTATTTATATGATGGGAAGAATTTCATCTAGAAGATGTATACCAAAGTTGAAAACCTTACATGGTACCTGATGTTTATGGGAGGTAGCATGTACGCACAAGGTGGGCCGGACACCACAGATATATAAAAAATAAAGAACCTTACAGAAAGACGTGATTCTCTCAAGAGTATCCAATCAACATTAGTGACTGCTACATCAAAAGTGTTCCGAGAATACACAAAAGACGACATTTTCCACTAATTTGTGCAATGGAGTTATCCACTCCTAGAAAATGTTCCGCTATTAGTAAATCACATTTTTCTGTTGAAACATTCTGGCCTTTCGATGTAAAAACTTTTCTGGAAATGGTTCATCTATTTTCTGTTTTCCTATGTTTAAGAAAATTTTGTTTTGTGCACTAGTGGCTGTGATCTCCTTATTAGGTAACATAGTATATGTCAACCCTGCCTACTTTTGGGTACCGATACGAGCCTAACTACCTTTTGTAGTATTCTTCTCTTTTGACTCGTGCAATTCTTAATATTTAGTTGCTGGGGTAATTGGATATAAATAATCTAAGCCTTCTTGCTTGACTAAGTCCAAATTAATGTTAGGGTTAGGCCATTTTGAATTTTATAACCTTGGGAGTTCTGTCGGCTTCTACCACTTAGTGGGGATGACAGAAATCCTACTCAATCTGAAAGGGATTTTAACTAGACATCTGTTGTCGAAGGCAAATGTGTTTTCGATCTTCTATATATTATCCAAAAAAGAAAAAATAAGCACTGTGTAAGAAGGATTTTCTGTCGAACTTAGTCCCACAATGTGGTGTCACGGAAGAATTAGTCTTATGTTCCCTTCAACGCACATTTTGGGTAGGTTGTTTCAAGGACTGCCTGTCATGACTTGTGAGTGACCACACTTTCAACAATAGCCTGAAATGTGATCCAGCTTTGCATCATACTTTAGTCTCTAGAAGAAATCCCAGGGTATGATAGCAGTGAAGTAGGTAAACTGTGTATACTTCTTGTATATGTGCCTTTTGTTGGTGCAAACATTAATGAAATTTATTTAATCAAAGAAAAAGTTTGAGGCAGGCTTTCTGGCTGATAAAAGTTTAAGATGCATTTCTGCTGATTTTTCTTTTACCTAAATGGTATTTCTGCATTGTTTTATGATCTTCTGAACTTGTTTGTTTTCTTGTAAAATTTCAAATTGCCCTAGTCGTTTTTGCCAGGTTGAGCTTTTCTGTAGTTGATCTTGTACCAGCTTACTGATTAAAACAGTAAAGGATGCTCTAATTTTTTTTTTGAGAGGGCTTACCGATTAAACTCTAATTGCAGACAAGCAAAGGATGCTCCTAAGATTATCAAGAAACGTTTAGGGAGTAAAAATCCGAAAATACAGCTCCTTACCCTATTTGTAAGTACATCTCACTTGAACTTAATTTTACTAGATTTCTTTTTGTCTAGGGTTACATAGAGTTTATTTGCTGAAATATCTTCCATAAAATTCTAATTTGCTGAAATTTTATCCAGAAAATTATTCACTTGCTTTTCTCATAGATGATTTGTTGAGTTTGTCTCCTTATATGATCTTGGGCAATTCTCACCTCATGATTAAAAGTACCAGGATCCACTTATCCTTAGTTTAACATACAAATTTGACATATTACTGGTCTCATCTCCTCATTCCTGACACATCGTCTGTGAAACTGGTATAACTGACAAGAGGTGAATATAGTTGTCAAACTTTAGCCTGCTAGTGTACTATACTGAAATACCTCTTATGTGTTTTCAGCACATCTGTAGTGTTGGCATTTTTCAGATAGGTCGATAACAATTGCCAATAGAAATTCACTTATCAATGTGTCATGTTTGACTGCTTATGTCTCGAGATAAAGTTAATTTATCAGTAAAAAATTCAGTGGATATTCTGGGAGTACAGTTGTTCATTCTCATCATGGGATTTGCCATTTGAAGTTGCAAAAAAGTTCATAAAGAGAAACTTGAATTGAAGATTATTTTACTATCTATTTAATTCTCCGAACATTTTATTCAGGTTCTCGAGACCCTGAGCAAAAATTGTGGAGAGAATGTGTTTCAGCAAATTGTGGAGCGGGACATTTTAAAGGACATGGTCAAAATTGTGAAGAAGAAGGTAAACAACTTCCTGATATACATGGTTTCCTCAACTTGTTTCACCTCTTTGAGATCTGTAATAACTTNAGCGGGACATTTTAAAGGACATGGTCAAAATTGTGAAGAAGGTAAACAACTTCCTATATACATGGTTTCCTCAACTTGTTTCACCTCTTTGAGATCTGTAATAATGTAACGACCCGACTTGTCGTTTCAAGAATTTACGTTCCGTTCAGTGGCTTAAGGTCTCGAGAAGCTTCGTAATATGTATTATGACCCGTGAGTGTGGTCGAGTTTGATTTTCGAAATTTAATTAAAAGAATAATTCTTATTTAGAAGCTTAAATGGAAAGAGTTGACCGGAGAGTTGACTTTTGATCAAACGACCCCGGAATAGAATTTCGATGATGGCAATAGCTTCGTATGATGATTTCGGACTTAGGCGTATGTTCGGATTTGGATTTGGAAGTCCGTAGGACAATTCGACACATTTTGGCGAAAGTTGGAAAATAGAAGATTTTGGAAAGTCCGACCGAAGGGTGAAATTTTGATAACGAGATCGGATTTCGATTCCGGAAATGAGGATAGCTTCATGTCATCAATTATGACTCAAGTGCAAAATTTGAAGTCATTCCGGATTGATTTGATACGTTTCGGCGCAAAATATAGAGGTTGGAGGATTTGAAAATTTATAATTCGATTTGATGCGCGATTCGTAATTTCGGCATTGTTTGATATGGTTTGAAGCCTCGACTAAGTTCGTATTGTACTTTTGGACATGTTGTTATAATTGGTTGAGGTCCCGGGGGCCCCGGGTGAATTTCGAAAGGGTAACGGAGCAATTCGAACTTGGAAGAAGCTGCTGGAAAAATGGCAGCAACTGTTGGATTCGCACCTGCGGAATTTTGGGCGCAAGTGCGACCACGCAGCAGCGAGGGAGCCATCGCAGAAGCGAAGATGGAAGGGCATGGCAGTGGTCGCAGGTGCGAAGAAAATCCCGCACCTGCGGAAACGCAGAAGCGGGAAAGGAAGGCGCAAAAGTGGCTATTTGCGCAGATGCGCATGTTGCATCGCACCTGCGAATGCGCAGGAGCGGAAAGGATTCCGCAGGTGCGATGTGTTTATTGGCAGTGGACGTCGCAGAAGCGAGAATTGGCTCGCAAAAGCGAGCTCGCAGGTGCGACTAAAATGTCTGCAGGTGCGAAACTGGGCAGAAACATAAGGATTGAACTTGGTCATTTTTGGCATTTCGTTTTGGAATTTTTGGAGCTCGGATTTGGGTGATTCTGGAGGGATTTTTCACAAGTTTGGTTGGGGTAAGTATTCTATATCCTAAAGTGATTATATTTCATGAATCTATGATTATATTCATCGTTTAATTCAGATTTAAATGGAAGAAATCAAGATTTTTACAAAATCTTCCAAAAACGAAAATTTAAGATTTGGAAGTCGAGTTGTTATTGGAATTCGATAAAATTGGTATGGTTGAACTCGTATCAGAATGAGTGTTCGGATTTCATGAAAATTACGTCAGGTTTCGAGGGGCGGGCCTCGCGTTGACTTTTGTTGACTTTTTGGAATAAATTTTTAAGTCGACGTATTATTATCTGGAATTATTTTCGATGAATTTTAATTAAGTGATACAATTAATTTGGATAGATTTGAGCTGTCCGGATGTCAATTCAAGCAAGAAGGCTATTTTG